TCTGAAGGTGCAAAGTCAAAGGGCCATGCTTGGGAGATGGCCTTCTTGCTGGCAGAGCGCTAAGCTGTCGAGGAATTACACGGCATTACAGGGTGTGTATATGTGTATGTGTGTGAGTGTCTCCATCTGTTTCTAAAACCACAGGGATACACTCATGAGGGTTATACCGTAATGATCTCATCTTGTCTTAGTCATTTCCAAAGGCCATACCTCTAGACACCATGGTCTGATCAACTGTCCACCCGCTCAGCACCTCACAATGGAAACTGCATGTCAACACATAACCCTGAGGGGGGCACTCAAACTGTATCTGAATCACAGCATTAGCCAGTTTCCCTGTCTCTGGCACCTGGCTCCTAAAATTTACAGGAAGAGAGGTTTATTTAGGCTTGTAGTTTCAGGGGATTCAGTTCATGGTTGGCTGGCTCCAAGGCAGAAACATCATAGTGAAAGGGGGTAGCAAGGCAAAGCTGCTTAGTTCATGGCTTCTGGGAAGCAGAGACAGAGAACAGTGTCAGTGGAAAGGAGACAAGGGACCATATATAGTATCCAGGGCCACACCTTCGTGAGCTACCCAGACTCGCAGAAGTGTGATTTGCTAATCCCTTAGGTGGTTTCCAAGCAGATCAAGTTGACACAATTAAGCTTAACTATCACCACCACCACTGTGTTTTCCAGAATTCTCTTCCCTATTTCCCACTAATGTGGACCATACCTATGAGTTACAGTTACACGATATTTAGAAGTTGGAAGTGAAGCAACCACCATATTGGTTTTTTTACCTTCAAAAGGTCAAAACAACACCCAGGCCTACAGCTTCTCTGCTTTTCCTTGCAGCCTCCTTCAATGTCTCCAGTTCCCTTCCAGCTCACCTTCAGGGGTTCCAGCTTGTCCTGATCATTTTACATCCATCTTCCCTCCCTAAATGCCTATCCGGCAAACTTCAAATTCTAGTGTCAGACATGGAGACAACAGGCTCACAAGGACTGCCTAACTAGCGTCTACATTTGTACATCATGTCAAATCTCCATAAAAAATTAATACATTTACATGCATAGATATATGTTTATACACACACACACACACACACACACACACACACACACACATTTACACAGGCTTCTCCTGTGCCCCTAGAGCAGTCCCTAGCATTGTGTCCTCATGATTGCATATTTTTGTAAAAGTTGAAAAATAAGCTTCTTTATTAAGCTACTCAACTTTTTACATTTAATTGTGATTTGGTTTTGTTCTTCTTAATAAAGAATCACCTTCATGCCTAGATTATATGTGGAATTTTATATTTTTGTAAAGAAGGTCTTCTGTGTCAAAATCTGCCTCTGGTCGGGTCAGAGCTGATTTTCCTGTTAATAATCAGATGACTCTTTTGTATCAGGAGGAAGAAATAGATGTAAACTACTGATGAGGGGAGAAGGTCAATCAGTTCCAAGGTCTGACCACAAGACATTTAAACATGAACTGAATCCAGCCAACTTAGATCTCACTCTAGTTTACATGAACTGAATCCAGCCAACTTAGATCTCACTCTAGTTTACATGACGGAAATAGCACTGTAAGAAGGAAAGGGTACTGGAAAGTCTGGCTCAGTCTTGGAATATGTCTGCCCTCAACAAGAAGAGGGAGAGAACCAAGGGCCTAGGAGCTGAACAAAGGAGCTAAAGGCTAACTACACTTTGAACATCTGTCAAAATCTCTCTAAGCATATTTTCCTGGACACTGGACAAAGAGTAAGAAATATTAATAACACACAACTGGATCCTTAGATCTCATTAGAATGATTCACAAAGGCAGCAATGGGAATGTGCCTTGCTTGAGGAGAATTGTTTCCAATTCAAAACCTATATTGAATAGGTTTTAACGTCCAATGCCTCCCATATATGTGACAATAAATTTTTAAGTCCAGTGATCAGTTATAATCAAGATGATGCCATTGGTGGAAAAAACACTTTAGAAAACATTTATTATTGTAAATAGCACTGTAACATTTTAGGAAATACTTTATCATTGTTGGAAATAAATCTTAGCTCCTTAACCAGAAACTATAATAAATGTGCCCTCTATGGCCAACTATTTTATGAAGAACAACAAAAACTTCATCTTTCTAAGGTTTTTCTATAACTTCTATATCTAAGAACTAATGCAGAATTTTTGTAATCTAAAGTTATAGACTTTTAAACATCTTTTAAGTTTTTAACACTGTAAAATCATATTCATTTTACATAATAGGATGGATGGGTGGATGGATGGCTGGATGGGTGACTGGACATGTGGATGAGTGGACAGGTACGTGGGTGGATGGATGGGAGAGAGGTCAATCAATAGATGAAGAGCTGTTATTTTTGACTTGGCTACAGTTTGAGCGGGGTGACTTTTAAAAATTCTTATGAAGAAAGGCTTTTCTCTATGAGAATAATACCATATTTTAAGCATTTGGCTGTGAAAGATGAGATTCTTAGATCCAACCTCCATAAGACAGTTCTAATAAAGAATCAAACTGCTCTACAGAATAGAGTTCCAGATCTCTCATTGTGGGCTTAGAAGAGAGGGTTTGTAGGTCTGTGATACGAGAGAGATATGCAAAGAATTTAGAGGAACACAAAGAGAGGGCCCCAAGATGGTAAAAATTCAAGACCAGAAGAGAAACATGAAGATTCAAACTACATTAAAAATTCTGTGAGGAACCAGAGCTTTTGCTCTATCCTGGTCCTTGGAATGTTGATCTCAGAAGTAAAAGCTTGCCTACAAGCATTGCAAGTTTCACCACACAGACCAAGATCTGAAATAAAAGAGGGCTGTTTCAAAAGGTCACGTGGAAAAGACATCACTTGATTGGTTTCATTGTCTTTCTAATCTCTGAGACTTGAGGCTTGATAGAAGGACAGCTGTTCAAAACTCTGCCCTGAGATTGTGACCTTCTGTGTGTTTCTGCTGAGGAAAGCGGCTTCTTCCCTCTCCACGGACACCGTCACCATTGCTGCAAGAGTGGAATCCTGTAACACCAAGGTTTTGCTGAGGAACCAGCTCCAGCAACTTTCTCCCCTCCCTGGGGAGGGGTTCTACTTCTTTAACCTTTCCTTGTACTCTGGCTTCCTCCCTGAAGCCCAGGAGATCCCAACTGCAAAAGCAGTCAACTTGGTGGGGTGTCCATGCAGCGTATTAGCAGTGATTTTTATGCTTTGTATTCTGAAAAACCATACACTTCCAGACTTAAAGCCAACAAAGCGACAAGTAAAGTTTAATTTGTCTGAACCTCTGCATAAACCTTCATCCCAATAGGAATCAGATAGCATCTTCAGGCTAGGGCATTTAAGGAGGGTTTCATGTAGAGGGACATCTGTAGAGGTCCTGGTGGGGTAAGGAGAGCCCGAAGAGATGGTGTAGTGAGCTGGAGCTGGGAGGCAGTGGAATTGTCGCCATTCCTGCACCCAGAGGCACAGAATGAAAGAAATCTCTCCAAAAAGGTTAGGCTCACATGGAGGAGGTTCTTCTGGGAGGACCATGAACCTTGGAGCAGGAAGGCACTCTGGGAGAAAACCTAGGGAATCCACTGCCTAAGCTATGTCTACTCTCTCTCTCTTCCAAAGAGTACAATGGTATCACTGCTGTCTATTGGCCAGATCTGACAAACAAACAATTCATAGTTCTTTTCTAACTCCATCTCTCCTCTAGCATTTGACATAGCTGAGTATTCCCTTCATCCTGAGAGTCTGCTCCCCCTTGGATTGCTGGGGCCCTATTCCTTCTTGGTTGCCTCCTACCTCTATATGATTGCCCTTCAGCCTCCAATGTTCCTGTGCTGCTCTCTGACCTCCACCGGGATCTTGGCATCCTTACTGAGACTAAGGTTTCCATTTCAAGGGCGGCATCTCTTACCTCTACCCAGAGCCTACAGAGGATATCGACCAGTACAGGTGCTGTGTTCCCAAAGTACTTCTCAGTGCCAGGGTGAAGAGGAGGTCTTCAGAGCCATCCCCAAGGAAAACCATTAGTGAGAGGGGAAGAAGTTCACACTTCCTAAGTCCATTCCTACATCCCAGTCCCTGAAGTCATTAAATTTCTTTCTCCACACAATCCCAAGGTATTTCTGATCTATGGTACTGATGGTGTCCCACTGTGGAATCAGGTTTTAACAAATTGAGCAAAGATGCACTCCCTGCTGCTCTAACTTAATTGTATTTCTCTGGCTAGAGAAGCCACATCAAACACTTCAGTCCATGTAAATTGATAAGCCTCCCCTACTCCACTAGCAGCTCCAGAATCCATTCCTACCTGTAGTCTCCCCACCTTTTGCTGTCTAAGTTAGCAAAACCATTCCTGCCACTTTATTCTCCCAGATCTGACTTTGCAATGGGCTCCCTCAAATCTCCTAGAATGTGACTCTGACTGCCCAAAGACCATGAGGAAAGAAACACACCCTGGCCAGGTGACTGTCCCTGAGGTTGTTGCAGATGTTCAAGCAAGGCAAGAGCAGCTTCATCACCCAGGCGCTGGCTGTGCTAACAAGAAAAAGTGTGGAATTTGAGACCTCAGTATTCATAAAGTTGTCTAAGTCTCCCCAAAAGCTACTGTTTCTCTTCTCAAACTGTCTTGTCATCAACATTCTCTGCCCACACAAGAGGCCCGACAAGGTGTGAATGCCCCTACACTGCAGGTCAGAATACTGCAGGTCAGACCTGGGTTTGATATTTAACTCAGTCAGCCCTCTGAAAGGAGGTAAGGAATCCCATTCAGATCAGAGAAACTCCCGAGACACTTGAACATAGCTTCAGAAATTTAAGATCTTGTTACTATTGCCTTTTTGTAAACAACCCAGCTGAGTCAGAAAGACCTGCTTAGCTTATGGTGGATCACCCACACCTAAGATGGCCCTATCTATCTATCATCTATCTCTCCATCCATCCATCCCAATTTGTCTGTCCACATCTGTGACCTTGGAACCAGTAATGGCATTCCCTTTCACTTTCAAAAGTACACCAGTTTAAAAATTAGATCACACTGACCTTTCGTGTGCCTGGTCTACCAAACATACATCGACACCGCCTACTTACTTCCAACTCGCATTTGGACACCCAAAGCAAAAGCAGTGAAAATCGCATTCTCACGGCTGAATGGTGTGGCAGGTTGGCAGACCCCTCTCTAAAGCCAACCGATCTCCCACTGGTCTGAAGGCAAAAAGGATCAGACCATCAATCCTAGATTGTCATCCCTTGTTTCTGTTGCCTGCAACTGTCTTGGCACTAACATCTACATAAATCAGGATTCTTTGTCTACAGAATACCAAGGTATGAAAACATACAGAAAACTACTATAAAATATTATGATCTTACAGAATTCTGAGAGCTGGAACCAAAGCTACATTCATGGCCAATAGTGATGCAGCAAAAGTGTCCAAAAGAAGTCTGCTCTACCATAAATATGGTGGGTCCCTCTCACCCACCTCCCACTGAAGAGGGAACAAGACAGTCACCCATCCCCACAGCACACAGAGGAGTCCATTTCTCTGTGGGCCACCCCCTGACCTGTTCCCACCCGCACCCTAGGCTCTCTGTACAGTAGAGCCAGAGTCATGGACAGAGCCGAAATAGGAAAATGCAACGTTTGCTTACATTTATGAGTTCTTTAACACAGAGGCTGATTAGACAGGCTTCAGTGAGAAGGAGAGAGAATTCATCTCCAGTATCTCCCATGAATTGCAAAGGATTCTGGGTGAATCCGTATGGGGACTCTGCCTCCTGAGGAAAGGGATTAGATCCCTCATCTCAGAGCTATGTTGGTGGAGGAGGTCACTGTTCCTGCCTAGCTCACAGCTATGTCAAGTGCAGTCAGGAGCGCTTCCTGGACACCAGACGAGAGGGAAGCACCCTGCACTGTGGGGTGGGAGACAGCACATGTGGCCAAGGCCCTTACTCCTGCTACACAGAGGGACGGTGCTGCTCTGAGGCTCGTGGGAACAAGAAGACCTTCCCCAAGCTGAAAGGAACCGTCTGGCCCTCATGGCTCCACAACAGGGAGAAAAGACTACTTTCTAAGAAAAATTGGGACACAATTTCTGATAAAATTCCAAGTATGTTACAAAGCAGATTCTGAACTGCAGATAACCTTAGGTTTATTATTTCTGTACTTATCACAGCCACACTCAGTCAGGCAAGGTGGACCCCTTATGTTTTCCCTTGTCCATATTTCACCTCTCTCTCGCTCTCTCTTGCTCTCTCTCCTCCCCTACATCTCTCTAACCAGAAATATCATCCCTTCACTTTCAAGGCAGGGCCCCGGAAGTGCCTGCCTTCTCGTTGGCCCTGTCCATCTAAGCCAGGGGGTGCTTCAAAGCTAGGTCCTTCCACATTTCCTTTTCTAATTTGTGCTTGTTTCAATCAGGCCATTCACAAATCCAACAGCAAAGCGACGCAGCCCTCAGGCGTAGATCTTGCAGATCTGCTGGCTCTGCAGCTCGTAGCTCTCCTGGCCCTGGCTCCGGAGCAGCTCCTTCTCTTCCGTGGCTCTGTGAGCCCGCAGCTGAGGGAAATGAGTAGGGGAGGTGGCGATGAACTCGTAGTGCCGGTCCAGCAAACGCAGGTACAGGAGCATGTGCAGGGCGTAGGCCAGCACCAGCAGCAGGATGAGAGACACGGCCAGGCCGAGGAGCACGGCCGGCGACAAGGAGGGGGCGCAGTCCCTGGCCTCAGCGAACTGCCCGCCCTGGACAGCAAAGCCCTGGATCTGTCAGGAGAAAGAAGATCGGCTGTGATCCCCTTCTCTGCCGAGGGCCACTTCCCACAAGCTGGTTCTCACACGTCTGCTGCACAACCAAAGCACGAGACCTGATGATCACCCCTGCACTGACAGGGACCCAGACACTTGCTTTTAAATCGGGACTGACCCCCAAACACCAGGATCTGGGATTGTCACAATGAAATCCAAGGCTCTGAAATTAAAGCTCTTTAACTCTAGTTTGTGTCAAACCCTACCTGCTGTAGGTCCCCCCAGCTCATAGCCTGCTCTGAACATGGTAAGTTCCATCACAGTAGGGATTTTACATCTCAGCCCCTGGGCCTTTGCCGCTCCCAGCAGGAAATCTTGTAGGGGGGATGTCATGATTCCCAGCGAGGCAAAACAGGGAAAATAAAAGCACACACTGACCGATGCTGCCTAACTTGTTCAGCACTCTCAGGAGCCCATGAGCAAGTCCCCAGTGAACTCCTGCTTTATGAGGGGAAACTGAGGCATGGGATGCCTAAGTGATGGGCCTGGTGTCACACGAGTGGACGATAGCACAGCTGTGAGGATGCAATGTGGCTCCGACCTTCTGGCTGTGGACTCAGACCTAGGGTGTCCCTGTGGCTTCTGCCGTCTTCCGTCCCTTCTTCCCGTCACCTCCCCAACCCCGTTATGTGCATGATGTCCCCTCTTATCTTCAAGGGACATGTTCCGAGACCCCCACCAATGCCTGGAACCACAGAGTGTCCAGACTCCCCACAGCTGAGGGCTCCAAGTGTAGATCAGAGATGTTGTAAAAAGCTGTCTTCGCTTTTATGCGCCCCGAATAACACAGGCAGTGACTATCTCTGTAGCATTCACACTGTATCACATATTATAAGTGGCCTAGAGACAGAGCACTACTCTGCTATAAAAAGGAAAAACTTGAGTCATTTGCAGGAACCGGGTGCATGTTGCGTGAAACCAATCAGACATGGCTTCTTTTATATGAGCAACTTAAAGTACAAATAAAGATACTATAAATAAAAGATGGATAATAGGAAACAGAGAGAGAGAACTTTTACAAGTGGGAAGGGGGCCAAGAGAGGGAAGAGGAAGGCAAGGGGGTGAAAAAGGAATTAAGATGTGTAGTATGCGCACCAGCCCCCACCCCGTGAGGAATGGAATCATTACACAACCAAACGTGTACTAATTAAGATTTACAAAAAGTGTACCCGGGAAGAGGTTCTATGCGAACACTATGCCATCTCATCTAAGGGACCGGAGCACCTACGGACCTGGGGACAGAATGAGCACCGGGTCCTAGAGTCAGTCGCCACCGAGATGGCCGGATTGACTATTTTCCTGTGCACGCCCATGATAACACTAGACTTACAAACTGGGAACAGGAAGCGATTAGCAGTCATAACCAGAAAAATCATAATATCCTGTAACAAAAGTGGTACAAAATATACAAAGCATTTCTGGAATCCCACTTAATATTTCCATGCTGGTTGACAAGAGGTAACTGAAGCCACAGAAAGTGAACCTTCGCATAGGAGGGGACCCCGGAGACACGTGTGTGGTGCTCCTTGCGGGAGCCGAGCCTGGCCCCCCTTTGCATCCTATGCACGTGGTGGGATGTGTATCACATGTGCAAATAAAGCCGCTTCAGTCCCTGGAACTGGAAAAGGCTCAGCCCGATGCCAGGGCCCGACATCTAAGCATGACTGCTCCAGTGGAACAGCCGGGCCGTAGAGTACCTTCTTTAAAGCAAAGTGGTCACGGCAGCAGGCAGCCCCCAATTCAGCTGGCTTCCAGGGGTAAAAAGCCAAAGCCACACAGCGTCACCTCATTCAGCCACCTGCTTGCATTTTAAAGGCCACATACAAAGTCGAATTGTTGGCCTGGTGTAGTGGCACAGGCCTGTAATCTCAGCACTCTCGGAGGCTGAGACAGGAGGATCACAAATTCGAGCCCAGCCAGAGCAATTTAACAACTTAGCAAGATCCTGTTTCAAAATAAGAAATTAAAGGTGGGGGGGCCTGGGGTGTAGCTCAGGTGAAGGCCCTGGGTTCAATCCTCAACACCACACACACACACACACACACACACACACACAAAGTCTGAGAGTAAAATCCTTTCCATGGCTTAAAGTGGGCATCTTAGCATTTTCCATGGTAAAATTCCGTGGCGCTCATTAGGCCATAGGCCTGGCTTGCCAGTCATCTGCTGACTGCGCCCCCAGCCCAGAGAGCCTGGGACTGCGCCACTGGCTCCTCACGGGACTCTGGAGAACCTGGGGTGAGCTCCCTGCTCCCCAGGGCTGGGTGTCGCAGACATTCCTCAGGCCCCTCGGTGAGCCCCTCCCAGGCCAGTCTTCAGACAGCCCGAGATTGTCCAGTGAGAATCCATCCTGAGAACCTGCTGCTGAGAAGCCAGAAGATCAGACACCTCAGCCCTGCATTACTTCAAAGCACAAGCCAGCTGCAATGCAATGATTAAAAGAAAGAAAAAAGATGCTCCTGGACTGCCGGCCCCACCGACCCCGTGTGGCTGCCTCTACTTCCTGGCCTCCGACCGGACGTGGCACCCCTCTGTACCCTGGTCCCCCGCAGACCATCGCTGTCTCTTGTGGGGACTCAGCCACAGAGAAACGTGTGCTGAGCGCGTTCCAATTTCCCTTGCCTTCGCCATCTGAGCATCACAGTAAGACAACCGCTCACCAGGCATCCCGAGCCGCCTGAGGTGTCTGCAGCACAGAGGCCTACGCACAAACCCTATGCTGCGGTACACGGGGACCCCCGTGGGTCTGGGCTGGGCATCCAGGGTGGAGGGGTGGCCTCCGGAGCCAGGCCCAAACCTGCGCATGTCCACAGCAGCCCAACTGCGCACAGCCCGGGCCTCAGCCCAGGTTACAGTGCGTTCTCCATGCCCAGTCACGCTGTGATGCTGATGCTGAGAGAAACCTGTTGAGGACTCAAATGGTGCCCGGCACTAGGGAGGAATGCCCTCCTCACATGCAGATTGGCAGGGGTCTCAGGGACCCAGCGGATCTGTAATCCTGGCTTCCTTCTCATGCCGGCTGCTCCAAAGCTCTAAGCGAAATCCCCACGCCACATTAAGCTACTGCGGAAGGACAGCCATGTGGCTTTGTGACCCAGCCTTACTGGAAATTTGGAACTGATTTTTTCTTTTTTGCTTTCCCCACAGTAACTCCCCATTCCCTCCCAACAGTCCCTGGCCAAACTCATTCTACTTCCGGCCAGGAAAGTGTGATCGTATAGATGTCCCTTTGTATCTGGCTGATGTCACTTAGCACGTCTTCAGGGTTCATTCACAACACCCCATGCATCCCAATGCCCTTCCTTTTTACAGCTGCACGCAGATAGATACAGGTTTGGTTTCTACATTCTTCCACAGCTGGGTGCTTCTGTGACTCAGGCTGCTATGAACAGGAGTGTACTGTATGGCAATCTGTTCAAGTCCCTGATTTCACTTCTTTGGGATATATACCCAGAAGTAGAATTCCTGGATCGCTAGGAAACTCCATGTGCTCAGAGACCACCACAAATTGCTACACAGCATTTGCATCATTTCACAATCACACCAGCAAAGCAACAGGATTCTAATTTCTCCATATCCTTGCCAACATATTACTTTCTTTGTTTGCTATTGTTTTTAATAATAGCCATCTTTATGGGTAGTAAGTAGTTTATCCATTTTTACAAATTATTTTTCTTCTAGTATTTCTACAGACACTATTTCTAGAATAAGACCAGTACTTAGGAGGTGAAATCATGGGTGAATGGTTGTTTTCCTCACTGTCTTTTCTGTCTCACCCTTTCTAAAGAGCCGTCTGTAAATATTTATAACATTTGAGTTCTGCCACTACCACACACCAGTTATATCACTACGAAAAACTGTGTAACGATCAGAGTTTCAGAGCATCAGAGCTGCACCTCCTTTGTAAAACAGGGAAAATAAGAGTCACGTTGCAGCACTAAGAGTACTGAAGATCGAGTGTGGAGAGTAACTATAACTGGGTGGCACAGGCGACTCACAAGCGGTGCTGGGAATAGCGTCCTTCTCTTCCGCCTGGCAAGGCCAGGATCACCAGGCTTTGTAGGACAGCACTGCACGTAAGGCAGCGCCTGTCCCTGCTGGCACTGACCACCACCAGTGCCTGGACAGGTGTGAAAGTGAGAGGCCCTGGGGGAGAGGAAAGGCCCCAGAAGATCCTTACACTTCTAGCTGCGAGCTCTCCCTTTCCTTACACATCTCTCGTCTGGGGTGTTTTCCAGCAAACACTGGCTCCCCTGGCACCGGACTCTGGCGCTCGGCGTTACCTGGAGGTCCAGCAGGGTGACCGCCCACGGGCAGGCACCATCCCCCGCGTGGCCGGGCCGCAGCAGCGGGAGAGGAAAGGCCCCAGAAGATCCTTACACTTCTAGCTGCGAGCTCTCCCTTTCCTTACACATCTCTCGTCTGGGGTGTTTTCCAGCAAACACTGGCTCCCCTGGCACCGGACTCTGGCGCTCGGCGTTACCTGGAGGTCCAGCAGGGTGACCGCCCACGGGCAGGCACCATCCCCCGCGTGGCCGGGCCGCAGCAGCGCACCGGGGCGAGGAAGGACGCTCGGGTGGACCCGTTGAGGACGATCTCCACTTGGCGCAGACTGAACCAGCTTCGGCCAGGCAGCTCGCCGTTGCTCAGGACAAACCTGAAAAGGAGCGGGAGGGGGCGTCATCCCGAGCGCCCACGCGGGACACGGGGCACGGGCAGACCAGGAGGGCGAGGAGGAAGTGGAGGCCGAGAGGCAGAGCACCGTGCCGAATCGGCGGGGTCCTGCGATCACTAGACCCAGGACTTGAGAAAAACTGAAATAGACATCGACATACAAGGAAAGCGTGGTTTAAAGCAATAAGTAAAGCTGTCCTACTGTGTGTCATTACCTTTCCACGTATGAAAAATACAAGTGGCTCCAAAAATAAATGCAGTAATGTTTACATAAAAACTGCATTACAGTAAAAGACGCACTGCCAAGAACAACGGGCTGAGCGTATTCACAGCAAGGGGGGGGAATTTTGAGCATTTTTGGGTGGGGGAGGACTGATAACAGTGTATCTTTTACTCTTAATAGTTTTTTAAAATGAAAGCACTTATACTACACGCTGCATGTGCATTTTATTTCGTGTTGGTGGTACTGTTACCATCATTTTCCACATGAAGACCCAGAACTCCTGAAAGCGCTCCCAAGAGTGCATCAGAACGGGGCTTCAGCTGGTCTTCACCACTTTGGGATGGAAATTCTTGAGCCATGGAAGTTACAGCATGTGAAGCCATGATTTTTTTTTTTTAATTAAAAAAATAGGTGGGTCAGGGAATTAGCTCAGTGGTGCTGCCGCCTGCCTTGCAAGCAAGCACAATGTCCTGAGTTCAATCACTGGATACCAACAAAAATTTTTTTAAATGGGTAACCACAGAGAAAACAGAGGAAGGATGGGGTTATCAAGCCTCAGTGTGGATTAGGAATGATGAGTGGGTTATTGGCTACTTTGTCTTTTCTCACAGGGAGTATTTTCTGATTTTTCTGTTTTCAATGCTTTCTCTTGTCTTAGTTTGGGACCCTTCAGAAACACGCTATGAGACAAGGATTTGAATACAAGGACTGGGGGAATGCAGCCACTGAAAATATGCCCAGTGGAGGAACAGGAAATGCCACAGGAAAGGGAAGCAGCCAGAAAAGGAGCAAACATGCACTGTGCATGAGAGGAGCTGATGCCTATGGGGACACCAACAACCGGACTCCCCCAGGGGAAGAGAGCCGAGGGTCCACACGCTTCCAGATTGGGAGGGCGGGCCCTGGGCCCCTTTGGGTGAGAGAGATGGCACCTGAAAGTTATGTAGAGGCTTCATGCTTTCCACGGAAAGGCCCAGTTAGATCTATGTGAGGTGTAGACAGCATCAGCTATAACATTAATAGTGATAATAATAATAATAATGCTATTTTCCATTTGGAAAATTGTGCTGTTATGGGTCAGAAATATTTCCCACTTCTGGATCTTTTAAAGGGAAAAAACTGGGATAACTGTTTTCTCTGGTTTTCAAAGTTAAAACTTATAAAATACTAACCCAACTGGTGATTGTTGTGCCTTATGTTAGATTAATGAAAACTTTTACGGGTGATTCTATTTCAGTACTTTCAAAAACTTGCCCATTTCTCTATCAGATGTATGTATGTGTTTGGCCACCTAGTGGGATACCATTTCCTTACAGTGTTGCTCTGAAATGAACGCATGTATGTTCTAAATGATGACCAGGGAAACACGTGTCCCATGATATGTAGGCCAGGGCCCCAAAGAAGAAGAAAGCTTCCCAAGCTCCAGCACTGGCATCAGGAGGTAAATCAGGTTATGACTGCAGCAGGCTTCCTGAAGAGCATGTCTTTTTGGAAGCCTGAGTGTATAAATTTACACCGTGCATGTCCAAGAGGAAGGTGTGTTCTGCTGTCACTCGCAAACATTTGACCACAGAGCCTTTTTGCCATGTAATCATCTCTGAGCTTATTCTACTTTCCTCGTTGTTTAAAGGAAAAGACAACTGCGTTCTCAGGTTCCTGTGTGCTGCTGTCCCTCCCTGCAGAGGTGGAGGAGGGAAAGTTCCCCTGGGAGCTAAACAAAGCAGGGCTAAGGACCCTGTCACGCAGCCTTGGGGAGCTCACTTCACCCGTCACAGTGCTGGGCACAAACCAAGCCCTCCATATTCATATGTGGGATAAACAGGTTAAACAGAGCTCGCCGGAAGTGCTGAGACCAGAGTCCTCCAGCCCAGTATCCTACCTACCTTATAGCCAGTGCTGTGGGATTTTCAGTATCACCAAACTTCAGAGACAACCTAAGAAGAGAGGAACAGCACCATCCATCAGAATTAGGAAGCCCCCTACGGACACAAACACGACCTCTGGACAGACCACAGACCAAATCATTAGCACCTACAGTACAAAGTTTACAGAACATTTATACAATCTAGGGATAAACAATTTAAAAAATTAATAGCAAGAGCCACAAAAGAAAAACTGGTAAGGTAAATTTTATCAATATAAAAAATTTTTGACCTTCAAAGGACAATGTTAAGAAAACACAGGTAGGAAACAGAAGATATGTGCAGTACATACACACAGAAGACTTTATCCAGAATATAATAAACTCAACAATTCACTAAGAAGACAATCCAACTTGGAAACAGAAGACTTGGATAGGCACTTTATAAACAAAGTCATACAAATAGCCAATAAACGGTCAGGCATGGTGACACACCCTTAAATCCCAGCACTCAGGAAGCTGAGGCAGAAGGACTGTCACAAGTTCGTGGCTAGCTGGGCTACACAGTGAGACCTTGTCAAACAAACAAACAAGCAAACAAAAACAGCCAAGCTGGGCATGGTGGCACATGCCTGTAATCCCATCACTCAAGGCTGAGGCAGGAGGATTGCTGTGAGTTTGAGACCAGCCTGGGCTACATAGTGAGTTTCAGGTCAGTCTCAACTACACAGTGAGACCCCGTCTAAAAAAAAAAAAAGGCAATAAGTATGTGAAAGGATGATCAGCATGATTCAATATTAGGAAAATATGATAAAACCATGATATGATTTATCAGTACAGAGAAAAGAATGATAAAAATAATTTAAAATAGGAATCATAAGCTTTTAATTCCTATTCACATTTTCCTGGAATAGAGATTCCTGGAGCAGAGAGAGATGAGTATTACTTTTTCATGGGAATAACATTGGTTCACTGTTAATCCAGTTCTTCCTCCTGGGCAAAACAGTGAGATTTTAACAGGGACTTAACATGGGGAAAGAACACCAAAGTTATGAATCTGGGAGCTCGTACTGGAAAGAGACAGTGGTTCCCTCCTCACACCTGAGAGACAGAGACACTTGCTCCCCTAGGCCAATCCATTCTTGGTGGAAAGAGCGGAGAGGAGGTTCCACACACCTGCCCAGATGTGGTAGGTACGATTACCCTTCGGAGGGGAGCAATCGCTCAAGATAAAGGAGTCAAGTGCTGCAGGTTGAATAACCATGGCGCCTAAGTAAATGTGACCATACACAGATAAAATTTGTCTCCGGGGGTTTCCCACTCCTGGACACCTTCGTGGTCTTCTGCTTTCCTGCCCTTGACATGGAAACACATTACTCTCCAAAGGCGAATCTCCTAGTAACATCAAGGCAGATTTTTTAACCCAGCTCTCAGTGAAATTTGTGTGGAAATGGTCAACCACATAAAAACTTAAAAATTTCTTGTCTGCAGCCTCTTATCAACCACACAGAATATTTTTAAATTTATTTTTACTAGTCCATATTTGCAGTACATAATAATTATATCCATCGTGAAGAGTTGGTATTGCACATAACACATCTTAACTCTTCTCATGCGCCCTTCTCTCCCCACCCCTCCATCTCCTGGTTCCCTTCTCTTTTTAAAAAAGATCTCTCACTTCCTATCATCCACTTTTTAGTTTGCTCTGTACTTTATTTATACTGTGGGTTTCTCATATAAGAAAAACCATGCACTATTTAAGCTTGTGTGTCCGATTTATTTAAGATTTTGACCTGAAAGTGTATCCATTTTCCCATGAATGATTCAAAGTACTGACTATACAAACCATCAATGAGGATGTAAAGCAACGTGATTCTCATACAATGCTGGTTGGAAAGCAAAATGGCACAATGACTTTAAAAAACAGTTTGGCATGGGCCAGGGATGTAGTTCAGTGGTTACACCACCTGCCTCGCAAGCGCAAGGACCCGAGTTCAATCTCCGGTACCAAAAAAACAAAAACAGTTTGGCAGTTAAATATACTCACACCATGTATTTAGCCTTTCTATTCCTAGATGGAATGACACCTCAGAGAAATAGAAATATACGATGCCACAAAGACCTGTGCATGAATGTTAATAGCAACTTTACTTGGTAAGTTAGGCAAAAACTGTGAGGAAAACAAAATTTCCACCAACAGGTGAATGGATGAATAAATTGCAATATATGCTCCTAAGTAATGGAAAGAAATACACCGTTTCTACATTGAGCAATATAGATTATTCAAATTAGTTTGCTAAGTGATAAAAGTCAGACTAAAATAAGTGTAAACTGTATGATTATATTCATATAAAATTCTAGATAATGTAGCTACTCTCAAATGATAGAAAGAAGATCAATGGTTTTCTGGAGATGGGAGTAGCCAGAGGGACAGATTATAAAGGAAAATAAGAGAATGTGGAGAATGATGAAAATATTTATTGTCTTCATTGTGTGACAGTTCTATGTGTACAGATATGTAAGAAAACTGATCAAATGTACGCTTTAAATGTGTCAGTTTATTGTACTTCAGTTCTTCTTTTAGGAAGGTTGTTACTAGAAATAAGTAGACTATAAAAGACCCCGGGTTTATCCTTGAGGGGATTTCTAAAAGTGGAATTTCCCTTTTGTACTTCATTTCTATATCAATGCAATAAAAAAATGAAAATGCTAGTAAGCTAAATAATTAGGAAAATATGAGAAATTTAAATATATAAAGGATATATCATTAAGTCTAAAAGTTAAAACACCTCACTATATAACCCAAAAAAGTAAATAATTGCAAAAGTTTTAAACCTTGAAAATAACCACACTTATATAATCTCATTAATTATATCTCATTTATTGAAAAATAGAAATATCAGTGGTCAAGATGAAGTTGGTCTGCTACTTATGGGGGAATATGGTGCTATTTACAAAAAAGTCATATAAGTAGGACTGAAACATTTTAATTTTTAGCATCATCAACTTGGACATCTCATGTGTACTCCCTGACAAACATTCTATCAGCTTATTTACTCAGTAAAGCAAGCCCCCGACAGGCCCTTTCCCTGACAACATTTCCATAGTCCACTCCAAATTACTGAAAATACTTGAAGAAATCAAGTGCATTTTTTAGTAGTATCATCTAAACTTGATTAGTTACTTATAACAGAAACTCATTTAGTTCTCCCACAGACCCAGGAGAGCCTGGTTATCATAAATTAGCTCAAACACTAATGAATTGAACCTCGGATCACAATTATCTCAAGCCTCCTAACCTCTGTCCACAAACTCTCATCCCCAGTCTCTGTCCCGTCCCCTGGGGGAGCAGCCTGGTAGCCTCTAGGCTCCTGAACTTTTCTCCAACACTGCTGGTTTCAGCAGAAGCTGACCAACATGCTGTGCTCTGGAGGAAAGAATACAAGGCCTGATGTCAACAAAGAAAATTCAGGGTTCACTCAGCGAAGATCTTCGAAGTGCCAGGCACTACACCACTGACTGGGACTGTAAAAATATGGTGGCTCTAATTGTTTGTTTGAAATGAATTACAGTAAAAGATGCATTGCCATTAGTCCCACTTAGAATGAACACAGTTACCCCACAGTTTACCACTTTCTGCAGCAGCTCTGGACGACCCTTTTCCCAGGTGTCTTTAGTTGTGTTATCCTGGCTGCCTTGAGGTCCTGAATCAATTCAAAGTATTTACCTTTTGTGGTCACTTGACATTGGAGAAGAGCCAGAAGTTGCACAGTGCCAGATCCCGTGACTAAGGTGGATGAGGGCCAGTCGTTTCTACAAGCTACCTTCCCATTGGGCAGCGCTTGGCAGCTGCACCTGTCATATTTTTGATCACACCTTAGAAAGACACTCAGGAAAGAGGACTCCAGAGCTGCTGCAGGAAGGGGCCAGAATGATGGGTTCAGTGTTTAAAGCAAGGGGAAGCTGTTGAGGAGGATTAATACAATTTGTCTTTTACTGTATTACATTTTAAATTTAAACATTCACTGTTTTGATGACACCCTCTACAGTGTTGCAGAGCAGGAATTAGAGAAAAGTGAGCTTTTTTTTTTACTCTTTCTAGTGCCCTACTTTTACACATTTAAAACAGATTCTGAATTCTTCAGACTATAATTGTCTAAATTCAAAATATACACAGATGCTGCGATTGTGTTCTATTTTCAGGGCTGTCACTATTAAAAAGGCTTCCACAGCAAATCTGTCTGCCAATCTTGACTTTTCCCTGCTCTTATTTCCAAGAGCTAAAACGTGGTCATCTTGCTTTTCATCCGTGCCTTTGGCCTTACACAGTTATGCACTCACTCAAGTTTGTTCTCCCAGGAACTCCCACTCTGGTCTGTTCACACGCAAGATCTCCTCACCAGCAGGGCAGAGGCATCTCACGAATCTATGCAGCTCAAGGCATTTGGCCATAGGAAGTCAGCAGCTGCGCCTCGAAGCCTCAATTCATGGGGAGCCTCTGGCTCAACTCACCAGGGACTCTGATATCCCCAGCACCCCCAACCCCCTGAGCAGGACCCCAAGAGGTGGGTCAGGGCTCATACCTAAGAATTCTAGGACGGTGGCCAAGACAAAATATCAGTTTCCGCCTAACTGTTCATCCACGGACAATGAAAACCAAAGCCTCCACTCTGCTGCAGTCACTGTAGTGACAGCGTCACTAGTGGTTAGGAGGAAGGGGACACTGGATAAGGTCTCAGAGCGCTTATGCAAACACATCTGATGTGGTTAGTACCTAGATGGCCCCCAAGAACTTCCTATGCTCAGAAGGGGAGCTTTTGGCAGGTGATTGGATTATGGAGGGGGAGATAGCCCAATGTGATGTTGGGGGCGCTGGAAGAGGTCGGTGACTGTGGGGGTGACCCTGAGGTTGTATCTCCTCCCCCAGTTCCTCCTTCTCTCTCTGCTTCTGGGCCTCCATCATACCATCTGCCTCGGAGTCAGCCAACCAGGGACTAAAAATGTGACCAAATCAACCTCTCCTCCTTAGGGTGTGGGGGCCGGGTATTGTGTCCCCATGACGAGGAAGTGACTGAGACAATGTTCTCACCTGATCTGCATAACTGTGAGATGGGGCCAAGAGAAAGGACTTCAGACCTCAGCTCTACTAACAAACAAAGGGAAAGGCTGCTCCAAGTTTCCTAACCTCTCTGAACCTGGATTTCATTGCCTTTTGTGTACGGGAGGAAGAGGCAGGTCAGCAGGGGCGGGATCTGGAAGAAACTGTCTCCCTTCCTGGCTCCTCTCTTGCTCTCTGCTTCCTGGCCGGCAAGCCCTGAGCATCTCTGCTCAGCTCAGCTCCTCTGCCAGGCTATCCTGCCTTGGACCCAGCCAACTATGGACTGAAATGTGAGCTAAAATAAACCTCTCCTTCGAGTTGCTGGTGTCGGGCAGCAATGCAGAAAGGGACTCAGGCGGATGTGGTCATCTCCGTTTGACTGGTGATGCTCCTGCAGGTCCTGTTTGCAGTCAGAAAGCTCACTGGTAGAGCTAGGCCGGGAAGCCAAGCTTTGGTTCTTTCCATCTGTAGGTTCTCAGTGATCCTGATAGTCTCCAAAGCCCAGCTGAAAGCTGTGGCGCTCTAATTTTCCCTATAAATATCCTGGGGTCAGGATAAATGGAACCAAGGAGGGCCAGATGGCCATGATCAGGGAAGATTATCCCCGGGCACTCAGCCTCTTTCCATGCAACTGACTACAAATAAAGAGCTCTGTAGGGAATTAATTAGACTCTGAGAAAAGGTCCTGATCTCGCCATAGCACTGGCATCTCTTTGGTAGTCTTTCATAGTTGTGCAGTAATAGCATAAACAAAATCTGGGAAGATTCTGGATGCTCACACTCATGATCCCCTAAATCCCTATTAAGAGATAATCATTCTAATGAGCAAGATACTAAAACTCATAATATGAATATAATCCATTTCCACCCATCATAAAAAAAATATTTAAATGAGGAAAAGTTCAGGAATAAAAAAATGTTTTCCAGTCAAGGTACATAAAGTACAACACAAATACACACATACACACATATATACACACCCACACACGCATGCACATGTGATTGCACAAATCCTCCTGCCCCGCTAAGGCAGGCCAGAACAAATGCAGAGAGTCTTACAAAATCCCGCACTAAAGCAGCAAATACTGAAAAGGAAGCGTTCAGAACACAAGTGGGACATGTCAGATTTCCTCCCCCTGGACCAAAACAAGGAATTGCAAAAAAGTTGTATTTGGATGACTGGAAAGCAGAGAAAAGCATTGGAAATTGACTTGTTCTTTGAAAGGGTTATCTGTTTAATCTGCTTATCTCAAACCAAAAGTGATTATTCCAGGCGCGCTGAAATGTCCTAAAGGATTCTCTGAAATGTGGCCAAAGACACCCTTGCATGTCTGCCAAGAGGAACTGTTCTGTGGTTTCAGAAAGCTCCCTGGAGAGAAACATTCACCCCCCTGAAGAGAGGCTCCTCTTTCTCTCACTGAGATCCCCGATGACTCTGTAACGTAATTTTTTCCATGGTGAAACCAGATTAGTGTGATAACTAACATTCGGAGTTGAGAACAAGCCTGAAATCTTTCTCCTTTTCTTTTAAAAATGAGTTTGAGAAGCCTAGTTTTTAAAACATTCATTTCTCCCATTATGATAATCAGCTAAGGGGTTCAAAAACTTTTTAGAAAACAAAAATAACCAAATAACTCCTGATTTCTCCTTTCATTTAGATATTAGACACTCTCTCAGAGGTGAATGAATGTCAGAGTCATATACAAAGGAGTCCCCTTTTCTTTTGTGAAGTGATGAAAGAGTGGATGCTCACAGCTGGGAGACTGCAGTGACCCTAGAGAATTGTCCTCAGTCTGCGATTAACTCACGTGGCACTTTCTTCACTGCAGTTGGAGCTGTGCGTGTCCACCACTGCCTTCCGACCAAACGCTGCATCTGTAAGGTCCAGCCAGGTCTGGTTCTGAAATGTCACCGTGATTCTTCTGGCCCAGAAGAGAATGCAGGGAGTGCCACCGAAGGCGACGCGCATGGGGTTGTGAGGGCTGAATGTACTGTCATGTTCTCCTTTGCTCTGATTGTAGTTCAGAGCCTACTCAACCAAAGAAAAGAATTTGAGAGATGAATTCATGTCCATGGTACAAAGGGTTCCCTAGAAGTAAAAGGGCTGACTCACTTTCTAACGGTGGGTACAGGCCATTACGACCACAAAATGTACAACACAAAGTGGGAGCCAATGACTTCAGTGCAAATGCAGACTTTTTAACTAGCGAAGAGGAAGCACAGAGAAGGAAGGGGAGAAGGCAGACATGATCAAAGCATGATTCATGTGTGTATAGAACTGGACAGTGATACTCATCAACTTATACTATTAACATGCATTGCTAACATTTTCTAAACAGAAGCAGAAAGCTAAGTTCATCAGTAATCACACATAAACCATCACTACAGTGATCTTGTCTGGAGATGAATAAAAGTAAAACTAAATATTGTAATGAAAATACAAAAGAGCAAGTAAAAGTAAGTACTTTAGATTTTTCTCAACTATAAGACCATGGTAATACATTTCCCCATCCAAAGTTCAAGTAAGAATTTGCTAATTAATAATAATTATATTTTCACAGTAGTTCTGACATAATTGTATTTACATTTTTTAAAGATAGATTACAATCTAATTTCCTATCTCATCTAGTTTTTTTTTTGTTGTTGTTGTTGTTGTTGTTCTGGGTACCAGGGATCGAACTCAGGACCTTGTGCTTGTGAGGCAGGCAGTGGAACCACTGAGCTAAATCCCCAGTCACAATCTAATTTCCTGAGATGCCCATACCTGTGTGATTGGTTCTGGAGTGAAATTCTGGACTGGCTTCATCTCTCCATTAGCCTGTTGATCTGCCAAGTGAATAATGGTGTGAGTACTCAGGTTGCATGACAGCAGTTTATGAATATAACTGGATAATAACAGGCTAAGCACAGTAAAATGTATTACAAGTCTTACCATTCTTTACAACCGCTTCTCTGTTTGAGGATGTTCTAGAGCTGAATTGAAAAGAAGAAATTTAAATGCTGAGCAAATATTTACAATTAAGGCTTTACACAAAGCATTAAGCAGTATATGTCAAAAAAGGATGTTTCAGTTTATCACATCTAGAATAAAGGAGCAGAATCGTAGTTTGTCAATACTACTCATTTTTAATGGCACATTTCTGCTCTAAAAAGCAATAAATGTTCTTTAAAAATTACAGAAACATTTAAAGAAGAAAAAAATTTTAAATCAACTTTGATCCTTATTCATTGAGGACTGGGAATAAAACATAAAAATCTTTACTGTGAAATCTTATAGTACATTGTATTATTTATATTAAAACCAAAACAGCTAACCCTTAAAATAAAAAAAAAGATGGATTCAATTGCTGAAAGGGTATTTCTGAAAATTATGAGGATAGAATCATGATAAATCCCCTCCTGTCTCTGAACACATAAACATGTATAATATACCACATGCATGTCGCTTACTTTTTATAAAACTTAAAGGCATACTTTGTGAACATACTATTCTAGATCCTGCAATTTTTCATTTAAAAGCATGTCACTAATATTTACTTGCGCTACTGTATATTTTCTGATACAACTGTGGATGCCATGTGGTGTTACATCACAGTGTATTAGGCAGTACTGTTAGAATACTACAAGGTGGGAAACGCTTGGCTCAGTCAGCTTTTTGTTACCATAGTCTAATACCCAATAAAGGCTACTTATGGAAAAACACGAAGAGGTTTATTTAGCTCACAGTTTTGGAGGCTCAAAGGCCTGGCGCCTGCATGGGCTCTGTTCTGGTGCAGTCCCTACTGTTGGGGCAGTGGGTAATGGTGGAGAAAATGTCAGGAACAAGCCCAGCACCCAGAAGCAGACAGGGCGGGAGAGCCCAGGCCTTTCCCTGTGTGTGTGTGTGTGTGTGTGTCCAGGGATTGAATCAAGGGCTTTTTCAATTTTTTTTGAGATAGAGTCTTGCTTAGTTACTAAATTGCTCAGGCAGGACTTGAATGTTTGCTCCTCCAGCCACAGCCTCCCAGAGTGCTACAATTACAGGTGTGCACAGCTACCCCAGCTCCCTTGCTCCTTTCTGACTACCTTCTCCTAAGAACCACTGTGGCATCACACCAGAGACCACATCCCCATATCACACCCCCATGTCCTGAGTGCCGCCCATCATGCTCCATCCCTAAAGCTTCCCCAAGTCTCCTGCGCTGCCACTGGGTCACAGTGCACCTGGGGGACACTTGGATCTCAGCCAAACCACAGCAAAGGGGAAGCACCAAAGAATAGAGGCTTGGCTAAAGACCTGTGGCATATTCTCAGGATGCAAAATGCATGGTATCCAAACATGTATCAGAAAAATATAGAATAGCATGGGTGAATAATTGTGATAGTTTAATTTTTTAAAATTTACAGAATCCAAAACAATATGTTCACAACAATCTGTTTTTTAGTTTTATAAAAGCGAGTTACATATGCGTGTGGTATATTCTGTATGTGTTTATGTGTGTGGAGAGACTGGAGGGTATATATTGTAGTGTCTATTTTCATAATTTTCAGAAATACTTGTTCAGCAATTGCATTCATCTTATTTATTAATAGAAAGAGTTGGCTATTTGGGGTTTAATATAAGCATACACTGTAGAATAAAATTTCACTGTAAAATATTTTATGTTTTATTTGTTATTATTTATAATTGGTTAAGCCTTAGTGTCTAGCATAGGGCTTGGAACACTAGGCTCTACTAGTCAGTGAATAAGGATCAGGGCTGATGTATTTAAATTGTTTCTTCTTCAAATTTTTCTCCATGTTCTATATTTTCTTGGACGTGCAGAGATTTCCTAAAGTTAAGTTAAAAGATATGTATCGGTTTTATCAGAGAATACTCAAATAAATATAAAAACATAAGTTAAAATAGTTCTAAAATCCCATGTACCAATATTCATCTTCCACTTTCAGTGATTATCAAGCACAATCAACTGGTCTCACCTACAGGCTTACCACTTCCATCCTGTGACATCATTTTGAAGAAAATATCAAGTTATATTATTTCAATGTTTCTCTATGAGGATTCAAAAAATAACAGCATGATTATATCCATAAAATGTTGATAATTTTTAACATTAAATATTACATCATTATGTGCAAAACATAATTATAGCTGAGGATTAAACTGTCATAATAAGTACTTCAGAATTAATTCTATGGAAAAAGTCACAAATTAAATGTGCTATTCTTTTTGTAATATGACCTCTATTATCTAATGAAAACTTGTAAGGATGACATCCTGGGGACAGGGATGTCTATCAGCTGCTCTTAACAAACTTACATGATTGCAGTTGTGCATTTTTACCAATTTTAGTGTATAACTTATGTATAGTAAACTGCACCCATGCCAAGTTTATAAACCTGTGAGTTTGGGCACCACTATTACAACAGAGATACAGAATATATGTCTCAACCACAAGTTTCTCCAAGCATTCCTGCAGTGGACAGACGGTCCCTCTGCCTTCAGCCCCTGGCAAGGAGTGACATGCCTTCTGTCACTTTAGATTACTGGAGTTTGCCTGCTCTAGATTTGCATACTAATAGAATTATATAACATGTATTCGTTTGTGCTTGGCTTCATTTGGTCTTAATGAAATCACTTTGCAATTAACATTCATAGGTACATGTATCACTGATTCATTCCATTTTATTACTAAAATATTTTGTTGTATGGATATATCATATTTTGTCTATGTTCATGATGACAGACATTTAAGGTGATTCTAGCTTAGGACTACTACAAATCAAGATTTAAGAATTTTTGAGTGTAGATGTTTGTGAAAGATGTGCTTATATTTTATTTAATTTTTTTGCTACTAGGGATCGAACTCGGGACCTTACACTTGCAAGGCAGGCAATGGAACCACTGAGCTGAATCCCAGCCCTAGTTAGATGTGCTTGTTTATATCAAGTCTCTTGTCCATTGAGTTAGTGTGAATCAATTCTCTGAGGCTAATCGCATCTACAAGCACTAAGGAACCTAATTTTCTGAAAGCACTCATAAAATTACAATGAAAAGGTATCTTAGCCAAAAAATCTCTACAAACTTAAATCTCAAATTTTATTATGCAAATTAAAATATCACTGAACATATGGAAGAAAAACGAAAGTCCAGGCAATACATCTTGGAGAGCTTCAAGCTTTCTAATAATATAACCACAAAAATACATTTTTTAAGTTTTTAACTTGAATTTTATTCACTATATTTCATGATACCAGGTTACATATTCAATTTTTAAATGTTTTAAATGAACAAAAATATAGAAAATAGTGAGATATATTTTACCCAAAAAGAAAGTTTACCAGGCCAATTGGAAATGTCTAGTTAGTGGGGGTGTGGGGAATGATTAGTGAACACAAGTGAGTGAATGAATGAGCTATGATATCAACATGCTTTGCTCCACTAATTAAAATTTTCATGTTTTCACTACTAAAAGACTTCTAGTAGACAAGACAATTTTACTGTCATTTCAGGAAGTCTCTGGTCTGATTATACAATGATGTTATATTTCTTTCTTGAATAAGCTGTAACTCAGATGGGTTTTGCACATACCCTTAGCCTGAACTAATGAGATTCTTGTACAGGACGCCATCATCTCAGCCAAAACAATATACATGTGCATTTTCCTGTCACCACAGAATCTCTGAACTACAGTAGAAACTAAAAAATTTTTTACTTAAAAATTGTGTGAATACACTGAGAAACACTGGTTTAGGAAAATTAAGTCTACATCATCAACAAAATATTCAAACTCTTTTCCAGTAAAAATTATTTCTGCAATACTCGAAAAAGTCATCAAGAGCCTTGGGTTGTGGTAGCGAGTGCCAGGGGACTTTATGAAGGCTGACGTGACCACGAAGTAGCTCCTTCATGGCGATACTCAGGAAAAGACACATTCCATTCCCACCCTGGCCTACCTGGCCCCTGAACTGCCAGGTGCCAACTGTGCTTGCCTCATTTCTATTCATCCCTCCCTCTGCGCCAGCCACACCAGCATTACTCACGGCCAGAATGTTTCACAGACTCTCCTTCCAGACATTCCTCAGATCACGGCTCACACATCACTTCCCCCAGAACAAGGTCCCTAACTTCTCAGTCTAGTTCAGACCCCGTTTTATGTGCTCCTTGTCTCCTCTGGTTTCCTTTTCCAACACACTGCGACATTTACTTATAATGTATGTATCACTTGGTCAGTGAGCACCGCTCCACTACACCGTTCCCTGTTTGCTCACCACTGAAGACCCAACACCTGGTGGCATCATTCCTACTGTACTTAGAGAAATACCAAGCATTTCTCAAAGGTGCTACATCCAGAAGCAAACTAATAAATTTACAAATTCTGAAATCACCGTGGAATGTGGGAGACTGCCTGCGATTTCCTTTTGGTTCAAGAATGAGCCAGACTTGAGAAAGGGATGTGAAAAGGAAGAATGGTGTCCACACTGTCTCTCTAAGCTTTGGAAATATATGTCAAGCTTAAAATGCAGTCATCCTTCTTAGAGGAAGAGCTGTATGGAAGTTGAAATACATTTTTAATTTCAGATCCATGATTTGAACACACATTCACAAGATAGCTATGGATGTCCCTCCTAGTGAATTAATGCACCATATTACTAGATTTGAACAATCATTTATCTGTGTGATTTCTAAGATCTGAAGTTTCTTAACCTAAGATTATTTAAACCTATTAACCTTCCCTTTAAAAAGAATTGTGGTTTTTATCATTCTTGGTGTACCCTTTGTCAGTAGAATACACAAATCGGTTACTTCTGTAAAAAAATTGTGGGGAAATATTATTAAGCTTTCACCACCTATGGAATTTAAGTCATTTACTATTTAAAAGCCAACCTGAAGGAAAGAAACTGATTTGGAAGCAAAGAGAGAAGAAAATTGAAAATGTGTCTACTTCTAGCTTTTATCAGCTGCTGGCTCATGGCTTCTTTAAGACAACTGCAGCCAGATCATGCTGCTGAGTTGTGTTCATGCCAAACTCCAGGCGCACCTGCCGAGATGGTACATGATGAGTAAATGGGAGACAGGACATAAATTAACTGCTATGCAGATGTGGATATTCTTTTTAATAGATATATCTCTACATGCTACCTTATAAGGCATGGAAACAAACCAAAGGGACAACAGAAATAGAAACTTCGCTGGTTAATTGTAAAGACCTTGTCTCCTAACACACAGTTACCATCTGCTACCAATTAGAGGGATTTAACACCTTTTCATCAAGGAACAGGTAATATATTTTCTGAGATTTCAAATTTATTTTTCACATAATAAAGCCAGGAGAAACTGAAATTAACACCTACTTGTAAGAATAAAAGAAACCTGAACAATGATTTGGAGTCATTTCCTATTAGACATATACTTTGATACATAAAGTAGTGTATTTGGGTATTTGAACAAATAACTCTTGCCTCTTAAAAATTATATTTTTTATCTCTTAATTATAAAATCTGGTTTAATCATTTTAGTAGTTGACTTATGGACTAACCTAGCTTATTCTATTCTGAGCCATAAGCAAATGTAGATGTGCAATATAGAGAAATTACAGAACCAACATTTCACACGTGCACTGAAGTTCACAGATGCGTTATATTAAAAGATACGCAATTACAGTACTCACCTTACATTCTTCCTGACAAATATCAGCTCCAGAGTTAGTGAAAACCCAATGCATAAAAAAAGAAATGAACCAATAAACAAGATTTTTCTTCCCATCAAGAAACAAATCAGTTTCTTCCAACCAAGCACATCTGTTAATTCATAAAGCAAACAGCAAAGACAGGACTTTTTGTGCTGTGTGACTGACAGCATGTTCAACCAATGAAAGGACAGCTTTCCTAGGACCCACAATGTGGGGAAAGAGGGAGGGAGGAAGCTGATAAGGCTTAATTTAGAGTATGGAGTGAAATCAATGTCTAGATGTTCAATTATTAAACTCACTGAAAGAGTAGTAGGTAGAAGACTGTTGGAGAAAATGTATTTCCCAGGTAGTCTTTTTAAACAAGTTGTATTATTTTGATACTGTCATGTAAATCTTAAAATCCTTAACATTACTTTTCAGGAAGCTATTAAATTCTCCCCCAATCTATGAAGTGTAATTTTCACACACATTTTCAAGTGAATAAGTTAGTAAAAATCTGGAACTTATCTAAATAGACAAGCACGTCCTAGTTTATGGCTTCCTGTTGAATTGGTGGCTCTGCCTACTGAGAGCCGTGGAGGGGAGCATTAGGACAGCTTAGAGCGCTGGGCTTGTAGTCAGGTATGGCTCAACAGAAGTCCAGGTGCAGGACTCAGATGTCTGATACCAGGCACAATATCTTCCCTGGTTGGCAGGATGGGAACAAAAGCACTTACAGAATTGTGTGAGCATTAAGGGAGATTATGGTGTAAAGCCTCAGAAAATCCTCACTTCAGTGTTCAGCTAAATAAGGAATAACCTATGTTACTCCTTCCCTGCTGGCCTGTACTGCCACCTCCTATCCCCTAAAATCCAACAAAAGCAGAACACACAAAAAATCTCTGCATTGTTTTATAAACATTTTAAAATTTTAAAATTTTTATTGGTACCAGTTTACTGTACACAATGATTACACTCAATGTGTGGGGTTGGTACACGTACATAACACGTCTTCGTTCTTTTTACATTGCTTTGCTTCTCACTCCCCTCCATATCTTGGTCCTTTCTCATATGCAAAAGCTCTATCTCCCTCTTTCCTATCATCTATCTCTTATTTTGCTCTTTATTTATACTTTGGGTTCCTCGTATAAGAGAAACTATGCAATAATTTAGCTTATATGTCTGATTTATTTCACTTAACATTATGACTCCAAATTGTATCCATTTCTCTACAAGTGACAGTTTTCTTTATTACCAAGTAGTATTTCATCGTGTGGAAAATAACATTTTCTTTATTCACTCATCTGTTGGACATACAGGCCATTTCCAAGATTTAGCTATCATGAGTTGTGCGGCTATAAACATGGGTGTGCATGGATCACTGTACTATGATGGCTTTAACTGTTTCGGAAAGGTATCTAGAAGGCGACTAGCTGGGTGGAATGGAACTGCTAGTTTCAGTTTCACACAGTGAGATTCCATCTTACTCCAGAAAGAATGGATATCATCAAGAAATCAAATAACAAAGGTTACCAGAGTTGTGGGGAAAGGAACCTTTCTGCATTGTTCATGAGAATGTAAACTAGTCAACCACTATGGAAACCAGTATGCCTACACAATTCCTAAAAACAATGAAAATGCTACTAAAAGAAAGAAAGAAAATCTTCCCAAAGGAAGGGCTGGCATGTTTAGGCACTTAGAGGCCTTGATCCCTTTAATAACAAAGTACCGGGCGGCGAGAAGTGCTATTTTTATGTGACCTTTTGGGCCAGGGCAAGGTCCTGAGTTCGACTTGATCCCTGTACCAAAAAAAAAAAAAAAAAAAAAAAACAGATGAATTTAAGTGACCTTCCAGAGGTATGAATTCTAGGGAGGCTGAGGACCTAATCTGAGGAAATATCCCTGTCCCTCTCCGTCCTCCTCCCATGCATGACTCTAGAGACTCCTGCAGGAAATCAGAAGAGAATAAAGCAGGACTCGGGGGAGTAGAGAAATGAGGAGGAAACATAGTTATAAAATTTCCGAATCAACCAGATTTAAAAGTACACAACACACATATGGACCAGAACAATGCATGGTATCTCACTAGTAGGTACAACTTTGTTTTATGTATCAGGTGAAAATAAAATTTTTAACAAGGTCATAGGCCTTCTATGCGGCCTTTCCACTTTCTCCCTGCCTCCCCTCATTCTTTCTTCTCTTCCCTTCATCCTGTTACTCCCCTACTTCCATTCCTCACCTCTTTTTGTTATCAGCCTCATCTCTTCCTGATTCTCTAGAATTTCAAGTAACAAGATTGGTTTGGACAGAGGAATTTAGCTCTTGGTAGGGCTGACAGATTAAACTATAAGAAAAACAACAAATCATTTTAACAGAAGTGTGTCTTGTGCAATATTTGACACATACTATTTTTCAAATCATTGTTTCTCTGAACACTAAATTTAACTGAAGGTCCTATATTTTTATTAGCTAAATCATGCAATCCTCGTTTCATGGGGCTCTCTGCCACTCAAACTGCCATGTGCATGCAGAGCCATGTCTCTCTTCGGTGAGGAACTGCTACAATCCAGCTTGCTCTCACTCCATGCTCTGCCTCCATCCTGACCTTTCTTGGTAACACAGGAGATATATGGGTCTCTGCTTGTTTTACCCTTTATTTCTCAATTGCTTTAGCACTCAGGTGGAGTGAAGGAGAATTTTGATATTACTGCTCTCAGAATCATCCCTTTCCCCCAACAAAGAGACTGATCTTCCTAAATTAGATCCATTGGTGAGATTTAGGTCAAGGGCAATGCTGATTCTTTATACCACACTAGAGAGAAGTTAACTTTTGAGGAAGAAGGGCCAGCGGTTTTTAAAATGCTGACAATTAATACCAGAGCATTTACTATAAATAGAAATGATCTTTGGTTCTTTAGCTATAAAAATGGAGGCAGCAGTTGCTATGGAAACATGACAAGTTAAAATAACAGCTTTAAGTAGCACAGAGAAGCAGGGAGAGTCAGACCTATGATTATTTGCCCTGCATAACTACTAGTGATGAATGCTGAGTGCTTCATTTTACCTGATTAAATTATTAAACACAATTTTTCCTTTATTCCGAATGAATGCGATTTCTTGTCCTTTCATTCAAGCCCCATGTGGTACAATGATTATTTCTTCTCAAAGCTAGTCCAAGGTGAAACTAAATAAATGTGTTGCCATATAATCTTACTAATATTCAGGCCTCATCTTTAAAAGTCTTGCTATTATAATTAAACCTCTGCATGAGATCTAGGGGGAATTGACAAAAGCTGTTCTTTGATGCCCTTTGTAAAATTCCTGGAAGGAAGCTATAATTTTAATACTTATATTAAAAGTTATTCTCCAGGTGTTCTCTGGCTTGGCCAAGACCCAAAAGAAAATAGGCTTTTTTGATGGCAAGGGCCTCTGAGCTATAAGGAAAGAAAGATAATTTTCCTTACGGCAATGGAATATTAAACTTTAGGTCTCCTTCCCTGGAGAGATTTAAGAACTGGGGGGCTGGACCAGGTCTACAGTATCTCAACAGTTCAGTTAGGACCAGCTGGTCTTGTGGCTGGGGGAATATCAAAGGGTGACACTTTTGACCCTTGCATTCCACAATGAAATGAAGATTCACTAGAATTATTTCTAGACTATTTTTAAAAATATGTACACTGTGGTAATACATATAGCAACTATAAAAGTAAATATGCAAAAAGTGGTCACTCTATATTGTTAAGACTATTGCTTAAAGAACTAAATATAAAGAATTTTATTTCTTGAAAGAAAAAATAATAATGGAGAAAAGAAAGAAAATAAGGAAAATAAGAAATGGAAGGGACTCTGGGCTTACTTGGCTACAAAAAATGACGAGTAGAAAAAATGCTTCATGATCTCATTGGTCTAGCACTTATTACTCATTTTAAGTATGGTCACAGGAATGTATCTGTAACCAGTTCCTACATGTGGTCCTTTCACATAAATGGAATAATGTGCTCATATGCATCTGAGTTTTAATATTTACCTCAATGGTTTTAAGTTAAAAGTTCCCAAATTTATATTAAATATTTAGAAAAGTATGTATTGGGTTTGCTACCAAGCAGTTGGATGCAGTGCTGCCTCTGAAAGTAAATGTGCTGGTGAATTTCAGCCTCTAGTACAAGGCAGCATTATGAGGGTACGTTGTCAGTTTTATTTCAGTGATCAAAACTCTGATGTCTGCTTCTGTGGAGGAGGGGACCCGGCAGACTCTTGGGGTGGGGGAACATTTCTAGAAGGTAATGGAGCTCTTCTCTCTGGGACCCAGGTCCTCCAGGACACCTCTGCCACTAAACCTTTCCTACTTCATGGTTCTTTTACCACACTAAATGTGTCATTTGGCAGGCCTGGGATTTAATTCAGTGCTGCTGCACCTGCCTTGCAAGTGCAAGGTCCTGAGTTTAACTCCCAGTACTGAATTAAAACAAAAAATATATATCATTTAGCTAAACCTTCCAATAAAGGTTCTTTTACACTGCAAGAAGCAAAAGCCCAGATCAAAGTGTTATGCTTTCTATCTAGATGTTCCCCCTAAGCATCACATGCCCAAAGAAAGGCTTTTAGAAGGTGATTCGATCATCAGGGCTTGTACTTTACTTGCTGTTAGGAGATGGGATGTGGTTGGAAGAGACAGGTCATTGGGGGCATGGTCTGGAGGGTTTACTCCCCATCCTCAGCCCCTCACATCACTCTGCTTCCTGTCCTCCACGCCTCCAACACGCCTGGTTGCTATGCCACCTGCTTTGGATCCAGCCAACTACGGACCAACACCTCCACAAACAGCCAAAAAAAAAAAAATTTTTACCTAATTTGTTAGTACCCGGTATTGTGTCCCAGCAATGAAGTAAATGACTGAAACACAAGTTCTCACAGTCTCTTGTCTCTATTTTATACCTGCCTCTCCACCCCTTTTATTTCATCCACCATTTCCTGGAGTGCAGAAAGAATTGACTTCAAGGGAGGTCACTGCGTGCTGAGTGCACACATCCTGAAGGTTTTTCTCACAGTAATTAGGGGTTTACATTTCTGCACATTAGTAGGCTATGAGATTTGGGGCGGGGTGGGGCAAAGGTTTTTTTAAAATTTTGTGTTCTGATAAAGAACGCAGCACAGTGCTGGTGTTTGTTAAATGGACAAATTTATCAAGAGTAGACTTCCTGTCTCAGTTTTAGCTTGAGTGATGCAGGACATAAATATGTGTCACTACTCTGGCACATTATCTATGTTCCATGAAGTCAAAGGGAAATCTCAAGTGAGAAACATTAACATTTAAATTAAAAGCACTTACAACTATTTGATTGAGTACCCTACTCTAACAACTCAGGAGTTGATTTAATGGAAATTGGCAGGAATCATGGAGTAATTAAGTTCTGAACATGATAAGAGTTGTAGGCCTTCTCACACCCTCAAGGAGCAAGGAGCACACACTATGATTATTGTTCTGTGAACAGGTATAAGCTGGGTTTTGTTTTCAAGCAATTGAGATCTATGGAATGCTGGAAGCAACTGACTTTCCAATTACGGCTCCCCAAAAGTTTAGGCGCAGGATACTACAAGCCATATGGATTGAAGTGGGGATTAATTATATGGCATTTCTGGATAGTTTCATTCATTCATTGTGTACATTTGTGAGCACCAAATGGGGCCAATTAGACATAGTCCTGCCCTCATGGGGTGAGATTTCTGATGAGGACGCACAACATAAACAAGGAAACAAACATACAAGTCCAAGTGTGACATAGGATTATGACAAAAATTATGACGACAGTGACGTGTGAGGTGATTCCACAGAGCAGTCACAGTCACTGAGGTGCAAAAGAACTTGACCTGGTAAGGTCCAGAGAAGCCAGGCAGAGGTCAGGACGCATGGACATCGGAGAGGAGGGAAAGTGGCATCACATGAGGAGAGAGACCAGCAGGGGTCATATCATGCAGGCCCATGGAAGGGCAGATGGACTTACTGAGGTACTACATCATCACTGAGGTAAACACTGGCTAATGGATCTGTGGTTTCAGAGCCTTGGACAAAGACTGTGCGCTTGCTGGATGGTTCTTGAAGAAAATAAGATTCTGAAGCTAAATTGATCTTTGTGGGAACACTGTTTTCTATTTGGCCATGTAATATTATGGAAGAATAGATATTTTATATTCACATTTTCAGCTAAGGTTCAGCAAACCTGACTTGTTTTAACCTCCTGTTTTCCGTGGAGACTGTTGTGTGGGGTATTTTCCACATGCCTCTACTTTTCCTGCCCATGTTGTGAGTCCATCCCTGTTCCTTGCTCTGGAATAAATATCCTTTCTATCTGTACATCTAACATACCTGAAGGTTACAAACAGTGTCGTCTTCTATGGAAATGACAGCTGTGTTCATCATTCTGGAAATAAAGTATTTCCCTCCAGGGCAGAAAAATGGGGCTCAAGCACAGGGCTTATCTCTTGGAATGAAACTCACTGTGCACACAGCATACATCAACACTCACCTGTACTGCCCCCTCGGCAAGGGGGACGGACACAGGTGGATGGATGCTCATGAAACTTCCTGCATTGTGAGCAATGAAGCCTGTCTCTGATCCAGGAGTCTCATGTCTTCTGCCTCCATCGTAAAATTGGTAGACCTTTGGGGAAGCTGAGGCAGGAGGATCACCAAGCCCAGCCAGGGCAACTTAATGCCTTAGCAAGCCCCTGTCTCAAGAAAAAGGGCAGGACACATAGCTCTGTGTGAAGGCCCTGGATTCAATCACCAGTGCTGGAAAAAAAATAGCAGGCTAGTTTGTTAAGTTTACAAGTGGGGAAAATCTTACAGTCTTCATAGCTCTTGATACAGTCTCCTTGGTGATCTGAGCAGGGAGCTGCAATGCTAGGTGGGTGACAACCTACTGCTTTTCAGGGGCAAGATATCCGCTAAGCATTTTTTTGTCACTGTTTTTCTCCTCCAGTCACAAGATGGTCTATTCTCAGTCACATCTTGAGTGTGATGCCTATTCTTAAATACATGTGCTAACTTACTAAGTATTAATTATTCTTCTTTGAATATTCGTATTCAGGGTGGGAGGATATTCTGACACCAGAATGCAGGATCAGGGCTCTCACTTCTTCCTCACTGGGGGTGGAGGAGCAGGCACTGTCTCTATTGAGGCCACCATGGAAGGCTGGAGGTGATGTTGTCTATACGACAGAAAGGAGCCACAGTTGAAAACTTTCTGTGTTGGACATTTCAGCTCTTACTCTGTCTGGAGTTTTTAATGTAAGATAGTAATCTGATTTAATTTGAAAACAACTTTTTGATGCAGCCACATCATTAAAAAAAAACCTATTTTTAAAAATACTTAATTATAACTACATGTTTAGTGTACAAGATGTTCTCAAATACTTATACACTATAGTATGGCTAAATCAAACTAAATAACATATGTGTTACCTCATATACTTTCTTGTGGTAGAACATTTAAAATCCATGCTATAATTTTCATGTATAGAACACATTATTAAGTATAGTTTCCTGCCCAAGCCACAGGCCTGCCTAGAAAAGAGCTACACAGGCACACAAGCTTCATCCAGAGGCTCGCCATACTATAGTAAGTATGCGCAGATCCTAGGGAGCAGCTGTGTGGACCAGAGTGGTGCAGCTGCAGGAGGATCCCAGAGAGGGCCCCACCCCAACCCCAGAAGCTTGGGAACACCCTCCCAAGCCAGAGGCCCACCTAGAAAAGAGCTCCACAGGCATACAAGCCTCATCCAGAGACCCACCATACCATCAGCCACAGCCAAGGGCCCACCTTGAAAAGAACTATACAGATGTACAAGCAACAGTCACAGGCTCGCCCTGATACCAATGATAAATGCATGGAGAAGCTAGCCAGAAGCCTACACAGACAACAAGAACTAGGGCACACAGTCCACAGCCAAAGGCCCTCCCAGACAATAGCTACATAGGGGCCCCAGCAAGAGGCTCACCTAGGTCCTATCCCAAGTGTGCACAGGCCCCAGCTAGAAGCAGGCACAGACAACAGGTCATTTCAGGGATCTAGAAGCCACCATTCTAAACCCAGGAATTGGTGTACTAGTAAGCAGCAGAGTAAAGACTTGCTGAGAATTAAAGACTACTGGGTGAGCAAAAAGTTGCCTCAACAAAGGCACAGCAGGCTGTATCTGTTGAAAGTCTCAAAACCAGACTTCCAGATCACCTAAGGCAACCCCAAAGGACAAGATGGAACAATCCAATACTCAACCACCTGGACTCCCTGAACTGGCAACAAAAGAGGCCCTGGAAAAAAATGAAATAAAAAATAATTTCTCAGATAACAGCAGAGATTGTACCCATAGTACAAGACATGATTAATAAATCTAGAACAGACACAGATAAAAAAGAGAGGAGCTGAGAAACATGATGGAATCCCAACACAGGAAACAAATGGAATCCATAAAACAGATGCAAATAGATTTCCAGGAGATTAAACATTCCACTGAAAGTTTACACAGCAGAACAAGTCAATGCAAGGACAGAATTTCAGATACATTACATAGGATTGCAATTAGTGACCAGGAAAATAAAAATTTCTTAAAAATAGTAGGGGACCATGAGAAATCAATCCAGCACCTGCTCGACGACTCAAAGAATAACATAAGACTTATTGGAGACAATGAAGAAACAGGAGAGAGTTCAGATGACAGGAAAAAAACTGTTCACAGAAGTAATGGCAGAAAACTTCCCAAATAGGGGAAAAGAACTTGACACACAGATGAGTGAAGCTTATAGGACTCCAATTAGCCACGATTAAAAAAAAAAAAATCTACACTTAGGTATACAATAGCTGATTCCAGAAGCCGAAAAGAAACACAATTCTACAAGCAGTTAAAGAAACAAATCACATATAAAAGAAAGCCTGTCAGCATCACAGCAGACTTCTCAACAAACCCACAAGGCAAGAAGAGCCTGCACTGTTGTATTTTTAGCCCTAAAGGGAAAAAACCTCCAACCCAGGCTGATGTACCCTGCAAAACTATCTTTCAAAATTGGTGGAGAAATAAGATTCTTTCAAGACAAAGAGCACCTTAGGAACTTCATGAATACTAAACCAGCGCTCCAAAAGAATTTAAACAATATTCTAGGAAAAGACAACAAAGGTCACAACCCCAGGAAGCCCAGCAGAATGAATCCATCAGGCACAACAAGAAATGAAACGCAAAGGGTGAGAATCCAACAAAAAGAAAAAGTCATGACAAGTTTAAGTCAATATAAATCAGTTAAAACCATGAATGTTAATGGTCTCAACTCACAATCAAAAGAAACAGACTGGCAGAATGGGTCAAGAAGCAAGATCCAACAATATTCTGCATACAAGAAACATACTTAATTCAAAAATAAACTCATAGACTGAAAAGTTAAAGGGTGGAAAACAATACTCAAACAATACCCCATGTAACAGAAACCCCCCGCAAAAAAGCAGGAGCAGCTATCCTCTTTACAGATCAAGTGGATTTCAAACCAACAATTATTAAGAGAGACAAAGAAAGACACTACATCCTTCTAAAGGGAACAGTCCAAGAGTAAGAGATGACAATCATTAATATATATGCACCAAACACTAGCGCACCAACTATATAACAAATACTAATGTACATGAAAAATCATATAAGCACTAATATTAGTGGGGGACCTCAATACCCCACTGTCACAAAAAGATAGATCAACCAAACAAAAAATAAACAATGAAATAGAACTCAATCAAACTCTTAACAAAATGAACTTAACAAGATTTTTATAGTGTTCCACCCCACAAAATCAGAATACACATTCTTTTCAGATGTACATGGATCATTCACCAAAAGAGACTACGTACTCGCTCACAGAACATGTTTAAATAAATGCAAAGGAACTGAAGTTATCCCCTATATATTATCAGTCCATAGTAAAATGAAATTGGAGATCAATAGCAAAAGAAACCACAAGAATTTCATAAGCACATGGAAATTGAACAACACACTTCTGAATAACCAATGGGTCACAGAGGAAATTAAAGAAGAAATCAAACAGTTTCTATAATTAAATGACAAACATATCTGAATCTATGGGACACAATGAAAGTAGTCTTCCGAGGGAAATTAATAGCACTGAATATACATATTTGGAAAACAGCAAGCTCAGTGAAACAACCTGATGCTGAACCTCAAGCTTCTAGAAAAAGAAGAGCTGGGCAAGCCCAAAGCTCATACATGGGAGGAAATTATAAAGATCAGGGCAGAAATTAATTCAATGGAGACTAAGAGAACAATACAAAAAAAAAAAATCAATGAAACCAAGAGTTGGTTCTTCAAAAGAATAAACAAAATTGACAAATCCTAAGCCAACCTTATCAAAAAACAAGGAAAGAAAAGGCCCAAATCCATGCAATTGGGAATGAAAACAGTGAAATTACAAAAGACCCAGCAGAAATCCAGAGGATTTTCAATACCTATTTCAAGAACCTATACATCAATAAGATGGAAAATACAGAAGAAATGGACAGATTCCTAGATATGTATGAATTACCAAAGTTGAATGAAGATGACCTAAAAATTCTAAATAACCCAATATAGATCAATGAAATTGAAAATGCAATTAAAAACTTACCAACTAAGAAAAGCCCGGATCCTGATGGCTTCACTGCTGAATTCTACAAGACATTTAGAGAGGAACTATTGCCATTATTGTTTAAATTTTTCAATGAAATTGAAAGAGAAGCAATACTCCCGAATTCATTCCTGGAAGCAAGCATCACCTTAATACCCAAAGCAGAGAAAGACCCAACCAAAAAATAGAACTATAGACCAGTCTCACTAATGAAGATAGATGCAAAAATCCTTAATAACATAATGGCAAATAGAATCAAGAAGATCATACATCCTGACCAAGTGGGATTCATCCCAGGGATGCATGGATGGTTCAACAGACTCAACTCAATAAATGTAATACACTATATAACAGAGCCAAGGACAAAAACCACATGATCATCTCAATAGATGCATAAAAAGTATTAGATAAAATCACTCATAATAAAAACCCTACAGAAAATTGGAATAGATGGTCTCTACCTCAATCTGATAAAAGCCATCTATGAAAAACCAACAGCCAATATCATACTAAATCATCAGAAACTGAAATCCTTCAAACTAAAAGCAGGAATAAGACAAGGATGTCCACTAACACAACTCCTGTTCAATATAGTTTAGGAAACATTAGCCACAACAATTAGACAAGAGAAAGAAATAAAAGGAAAAAAGATAGGAAATTAAGAAATCAAACTGTCACTATTTGAAGATGAGATACTCTACATAGAAGACCCAAGAACTCCACCAAGTCTTCTAGACTTAATAATCAAATTCAGCAAAGTAGCTGGATACACATGTCAACACACAAAAATTAATAGCTTTCCTGTATACGAAAACAGACAGAGAGAAACTGGGCAAACAATTCCTTTTACAATAGCATCCAAAAAATTGAAATACCTAGGAATCAACCTAACACACACAAAAAAATCAAAGACCTCTACTATGAACACTATAGCATTCTGAAAAAGAGATTGAAGAGGATATCAGAAAATGGAAAGACATCCCTTGCTCCTGGGTAGGAGTAAAAATGGCCATACTTCCAAAACTGCTATATAGATTCAATGCAATCCCATTTGAAATCCCAGTGCATACTTCACAGACCTTGAGAAAAAAATAAAAAAATTCACTTGGAACAAGTATCATAATCCCCAACTTGAAACTATACTACTGTAATAAAGACAGCATGGTACTGGCAAAGAAACAGACCCGAGGACCAGTGGAACAGATTAGAAGATGCAGAAACAACTCCAGACACACTCACCTACCTCATCTTTGAGAAAGGAGCCAAACACCCTTACTGGAGAAAAGAAAACCTCTTTAATAAATGGTGCTGGAAAAACTGGGTTTCAACTTGCCAATAATTAAAACTAGACCTAAATCTCTCACCATGCACTAAACTAAAATCGAAATGGATTAAATATCTTAATATTAAAGCAGAAACACTAAACCAGCTGGAAGAGAGGTTACGTAGAACTCTTGAAGACAATGGTGTAGGAAAAGTTTTTATGAACAAAACTTCAGTTGCTCATGAACCAGTATAAACAATCAACAAGTGGGATTTCTTATTAAATAGCTTCTGCACAGCAAGAGAAATGACCAACAGCATGAAGAGACAACCCACAATACAAGAAAAAATTTTCACCAGCTCTTCCTTAGACAAAAGTCTACTATCTAGAATATATGAAGAACTTTAAGAAATCAGACCTCCCAAATTTAAAGACTCAATGCAAACATGGGCATCCGAAATGAACAGACATTTCTCAGTCAAAGTAGAAATAGCACATAAACATATGAAAAAATGTTCAACATCACTGGTCATTTGAGAGATGCAAACAAAAACAATACTGAGATTCCACCTCACCCCAGAAAGAATGGCTATCACGAAATCAACCAATAACAAATGCTGGTGGGGATGTGAGGAGAGAGGAACCCTGCTCCACTGCTGGTGGGAGTGCAGACTGGTGCAACCACTATGGAAACCAGTACGAAGATACCTCAAAGAACTAGGATTGGAGGTCCCATTTGACCCAGCTATCCCCCTGCTACATATCTTCCCAAAAGAATTAAAAGAATCATATCACAGGGATACATGTGCACCCATGTTCATAGCAGCACAATTTGTGATAGGTAAGACTTGGAAACAGTGCAATCGTCCATCAATGGGAGACTGAATAAAGAAAATGTGGGTTTTTAAAATAAAACAGAGTACTACTCAGCTATAAAGAATGAGAAACTAGAGACATTTATAAATAAATAGATGCACATTGACGCGGTACTCTTAAGTGAAATAAATAGGACACATGTAAATACCGAATAGTTTCTCTAGTGTGAGAAACTGAAAGTGTAAAGAACTAAAAGATATAACAGATAATGTGAAATAGGAAGAAAAGGTGTAAAGGGAAGGGGAAATTGGAGGGGTAGGGGAAGAGAAAGAAGGGAATGGAATTCATGTGAGAAAAAGAAAAAATGGAAACAAAGACTTTGTAGATAGGGAGGGGTGGAGTGAGTGAAGGGAGGGCAGGATTGGAATGGGGGAAAAATAAGAACCAAGATGGATTATGTAAAAGTGCAAACTTCCAATGATTAATGTCATCATACTGTATACCTAAAATGTACCAATAAAAAATTTAAAAATTAGTTTCCATGCTACACAGAACACTTGAATTTATTCCTTCTAAAATTTGTACCCTTTAGCCAATAAATTTTGAATTTGAATCCCCTATGGCCCTCAATTACTGGACACCACCACGTATTCTCTGCTTCTATGAATACCAATTCTTTTCTTTGACTCCACAAGTGGGATAGTGCAGCATGTCTCCCCATGATCTCACTCAGCGCTTTGGTTTCCAATACTACCTATCCAGTGATGACTTTGATGAACTTCCTGTCACACATCCAACTACCCACTCTATATCCCTGGATGGCTAGGAACATCTCAAACTTAATGCATCCAAACACAACTCTTCTCTTTCCCTTCAAAATCAGCTCTCCCAATACTTCCCACTCCGTTAATAATACCAGCAACCAAGTGCACAGGTCAAACATCATGGGGTCATAACTAACTCCCATCTTGGTCCTCAGAAACTCATGATGGCTCCATCACAAAACAATTAATTATGAACGAATTCACCATTTTTTTTACCACCTCCTTTGTAGGTCGAAGTCATTATTATCTCCCACTTTACAATTATACCTTCCTCAATGGTCGCATGCATGATTCATGTGTTTTTCTCCTCAGAAGGGCCAAAGTGACAGAAACATCAATCCTACTTTGTTAACTCCTTTGCTCACAACTGTATAAAGGTACTCAGTCACTGGACACCAACACTTCAAAATGCAAGTGGGAGGGGAGCTCCACTGTCCTCTGTGCAACTCAGCCCTCCAGGGACCCTGCTGCTCCTTGCTGAGCTTCCACGGGCTGTATTCTATAATTAGACTGGCTTGTTTAGGTCTCAGTGCAAACGTAGTCCTCACAGAGATATTTTTTAAGTTTTTAAAAAAATTATTATGCATGTTTGCGGCGCATAATTACACTCACCCTGAGAAATAACATACATGTCGCATGTTAGTCTTTTATGTCCTTCCCCCAGAGCTACCTTCTTAATCCACTGCATCCACAAGCGCTAAATCAGATCACCGACTCGTCTATTTTTTCTCTACAGCACTTATCAGTGTGAAAAATTATCTTTCTGATTATCTGTAAATGTCCATATATACCGTCTGTTCCCTCACATCTACATAAAGATAAACCTGGCCTGAGGATTTAGCTCAGTGGTTCCGCTGAATGCCTCGTAAGCGCAAGGGCCCAAGTTCGATTCCAGGTACCAGAAAACAAACAAACAAAGACAAACCTCTCACGAGCAGAAACTTCCACTCTCGTTAACTACCACACCCCCAGTACACAGAGGAGACATTTTTAAAAGTATCTGTGGAATAAGCATCCACAAAACTCTCCTGTTTACTCCTCTTTACGGAGAAGCAATTAGAGTTGATTAAAGGAGTTGCTCAAGGTCGCACAACCAGGCAGAATACCCCAAAGCCTGGATAGGTAACTACCACGCTACGTTGTCTCATTAAACTTTACAATGCACTGTGCTGCCTCGCCTGTTCTTGTGACTTTAGGCTCAGAAGTCTAAGGTGCCGGCCTCCACTCGGGCCCACTGGGACGCAGACACCGACGCGGGCACTGCAGCGACCCCTGCGAATCTCCGTCTCCCCGCGCCCCTCTCGCCCCGAGGCCCGGGTGCGC